ATCACATATTTGTTTCCATGTCCATAGGAGGTGCCAACATGCAATAAAATGTTGCAAAGGATGTTTTTATTGCATATATGCATATAGTGGGAGTTGGTGTTCTTTTCAAGACCTTTTGTTTGACATTGTACTGAAAGGAAGGATTAGAACGCCTCTGAATTTGGCAATAGTTTCTATCTTTCCTTGCAACAGCTATGTTGTAGCCTCTCAAGAGGAAGGCTTTTGCAAACCACCAAAGACCTGTAAACGAACATCTGGTTAATCTGTTTGAAACTTTTAAACTTCTTTTTTTATGAATGGAAGAGGAAAGGCTACTCATTATTTAAGTGATTGGGAAGTTTAAAGTGAATGAGGATTGTTTTATTCTGCTATTGGGTATCCTGGACTGAGCAAAGGTGGGTTGGCTATAAAAAAGAAGTGGATATTTATTATAAGCTTTTGCTTGTAAGATTCAGATTTAAAAGCTCATGTGTTCTTCTGTTCCTTGTGTCAGTGGTCTGCAAGGGTGAGAAACACATACTTTGAACTTAAGGTAGATTGGAAATTATTTTGTGACTCATCAACCACACCATTCTTACAAAAAAATGGATTAGCCCAAACTTATTGTGCTATTAATAGAAGAAGCTTAGAAATAAACAATGAAATGAAATTAAGACATTCATTAGAAGTCAGTGGCTTGTGGACTTCTGGTTTTGCGTTGCAACGAGATGGAATGCAGGAAGGCAGAGCTCTGCCTTCCGTGCCCAATTTCACCCTGCTGGGGCTCCTGAAAAGGGCCTAAATTTGCCCCAAAGAGGCGATGAAGAAGTGGTGCCTTGACGATCATGGAGAGATGGAGGTCTCTCTGTTCGATCCAAGGAAAGCCCTCTAAACCAGCAAGGGAAAGACTGGCCACACCTCTGTGGTTGGCCATTAGCTGCTGACTACTGAAGAACAAAAGCATTAATTAGCACACTATAAACAGCATGTTTGGACTGGGTGCTAATATTGATCCTTTCTTTACTATTTTACAACTGAATTTCCTGGGAAAGGCTCCCAAGAAGCTTAAAAACTCCAGAAGTGACCGGAAGCGGCATTTTAATTTTTTTATGGGGGACAGAAATACACAATACTCAAATGAAAGTAATACAAAATTGTTTTGATAAATCTGAGAACTGAGATAAATTATTAAGATTTTCTCTTTAGAAAAAATTTATTGAGGTGAAATATAAGAAATATAAGAAATCAACCCTTTGTTTTAAGAGTGGAAAAGAGACTTTGAATGACATCTAGTGGTGAATTTGAGTACAGCACTATAACTAGCTCCTTGGCTGCTTGGTGAATTTCAGCTTAAGGGAGAACAGCTGGCAATAAAGGAAAATATTTTGGCATATCTATCATCCTGACCTTCTTGGACTATAAATACCTACTGAGTTTGGACTTTTAATCTCAAGAGGTAGTGGGAGAGAAAGAAAAAAAATGACTTTTGAGTACGTCTGGCTGCAGGGAGGTTGAACATTTTGAACACTTGGAACATTGTGGATTACAACCTTGCCTGACTGATAATTTTCAGGATACTTGAGACAAAGGATTACTATAAAATATTGCTATTAAGACTGGATTATAAAGGCTATATATAAAGACCAGAAAATGAGAGGAAATTTTGTTCCACTTTTACTGAGACTGGTGATATAGAAGATTTCTAGGAATGATGCCTCAAGGAAAAACAAATACCTTTTAGAAGGAAATACTCTCTATGCTACAGCAAATTCAGCAAAAATTGTTGCATACAAAGAGGACATAAAAAAGAAACCATAATGAGACTAAAAATAACCTAGATGATATAAAGGACCAAATCTCCAAATTGAGGCTACAACTGGAAAGCTCCCAGAAAATGACTACAAAGTATGAACAAATAAACCAGAAATTAGAGGGTGAAGCAGAAGAAATAGATCTAGAGATGGAGGAGATAGGAGAAGGGAAATATGGACTGCCATACACAAATAAAATACTCCAAGACCTACCTATAACAATGAAAATACAAAAGACCAGTTACTCCTTTCTCCAAAATACACCTGATGACAAGGAAGAAGATTCTAGAAAATGGAACATAGAGTGGGCAGGGGAAATGTCTAGAGAATGTGAATGGGCAGAGTCCCCCCCCCAAAAAATACTCTACCTAAATTGTCTTTCTCATGCCAAGCAGCTTGCACAAAAAAGAAAGAAAATTCTTCGGCGATTTAATTGCCCTGGCCTGGAAAGCTGCTTGACAAAGAAAGAAAGCAAGAGTTAGACTTAAAAAACAGAGGATTTAATCTGTCAGAGGGAGCACTATCTGTTTAATATACTTGTTTGGATATGATTAAAAGAATAGATGATCCTTAGATATAACTATATTTTTATAATGGAAGATATGATTTAGAATTAAAATAGCATTTCATTTCTTTTTTGATATGGGAAATTTGAAAGTAAGAGGATTGGTATGAGTAATTTTTTTATCTATATAAATGTAATTAATATTGAGAAAATCATAACTGACAAAGATACTTTAAATATTGGCAGGAAATCAAACTTTAATTAGAGCAAGAAAAACAGGATATTGACTTATGAATTGATATTATTGTTATTTCTATAATATTAGTAAAATATGATGAAGATGTCTATATTTAATTTTGTATACATCAATAGTATTAAGAATTGTAATTGTTTAATGAGGGGAAATGGGAAAAATATGGGGAAAAAAGGAAGATCAAGGAAAAATACTGGATTGTGCAGTACTGAACAGATTTATACTGAAGAAGTTAATGTTAAATATGTGAACCCAGACAACATATTGTTTACTAAGCTTTAAAGATTCTAATTTTAAAAAATTAATAAAACTTATAAAAAAACAGTGGCTTGCTTCCTTACCAATTTATATTTAACAGAAAGTTGTTTTGTCATTTTTTTTCAAATAGAAATTCCTTTCATTTATGCAAGTCATCTAATGGACTTGAGATATATTGATATCAAGAGTAAAATACAATAATAATGCAGTAAATAAAAATAACAATAACAATAATTCCATAGTGAATCCCCAAATGCCTTCCAGAAAAGCAGGGTTTTTTTCTGCAGAGAAGTCTATTCCATAAGAGAAGCCCCCACACGTGATGCCTGCAGTTATATCCACTCCTATTATACTCTTAATAATTTGGGGCTCTAAGCAGTCTCCGCTGCTGTCTGACCATGAAAAAATGAATGGCTGCAAATATTGTATCTCTACAAACCTATCTGTAATTCAAGAAAATGAAAAGATAACTATCTGGAACTCAAATATTCTTTCTCTATTGAGATTGTCTACCTTAATTAAAAGTAATTAACTTTCCAAAGTTAAAGACAACTATTTCTAATAAACTTAGCATTTCAAAAAAAGTCAAATGGTAACTAATATTTCCAGTGGTATTCCCATATGGGTATTATTAGAAAGAATATTCACAGACAGATTTGAAAATTGAATGACAGCTATGCAAAATAGGTAATTAGAAGTAGAAACATAAACAGAAATATAATATATATATTATATATTTCTTTTGAAATATGATATATTTCTTTTGAAAATAAAACAATGAAATCCTAATAATTCAGTTTCATTTGTTTAAATCAAATAATTCATAAAAACATTGTACTTACAATATTGTAAAAAAAAAAATAAACCTTGCATATATTAAGCTTACATGTTTCCAGTTATTGCAGATTAGATGATGTTACAGAATAAGCCTCTTCATAGTCATAACTTTGTAATATCGTTCACCAGTATCAGATATGAGATTTTAATTCTGATATGATATTAGTTATGGATTTCACTCATTTGATCAAATCACAGAAGCACATGTCCCCCCATTTTTAGACTTGTACTACTGTTCTGTCCATAGAACTACAGTCTTTGTAAATTAATCTGTCCAGTTGCAATATTTCAAAACAGTCATCTATACTTTAGTGATATCATTATTAAACTACCTGAATTGCATTCCTCACACAGTAATCCCTGAAGACAGTGCAGAAGCTTCATCTGGTATAAAAATGCAGCAAAGAGGCTGCTACATGCTGCATAATCCGGGGATCATATTCTCTTTGTGCTACACTGTTTTAAACTTTTAAGTCTCAAGATAGCTTCAAAGCCGATTACCCAAGATGGCCTATCTCAACTTTAACCTCCCCAGGCTTCAAGATCAACAAGAAAGACCCACTTAAACCTTTTCAAAGGCCTATTTGTTGCCAGCGCAAGTGAAGGGCTCCAAGCCGTGGAACAGGCTCCCTTGAGAACTGCCCTTAGCTCTCCCTGTTCCCACTGTCAGGGAAGTAATTAAGACTTTCCTGTTTTGCTAGGCCTTTTGATTATATTTTTGTTAAAATTGTAACAACAAGAACCAATTCACTGGAGAGCCAGTTTGGTGTAGTGGTGAAGGTGCTGACCTAGATACCAGGAGCTGGTAAGACTTCTGTTGCTAACATTGGATGTTTTTGCATTGACAACAGATGGAAATGTAGCCATCTTTTACCTTTTGCTTTTAGAGTAAGACGATGCTGGGAGGGGGGATGTGAAGAGAGTTCAGCTAGACATAACAACACTAAACCTAACAGTGAGAAACAAGGTTATTGTAACCAGAGCTGATAAAGAATTGGTGGGCTGGAGAACTGGAGAGGAAGCCTGCTGTTTGAGCTAATTGGGGAATGTGATTTATGACTGTTAATTGGAGGAGGGAATTGTGCTTTGATACTATATACTCAGGGGAGGGGAATTCAGTTTTTGGATTTGATTATGCAGTGCCAATATTATGCTACTCAAAATAAAGACTCTTTAAGGTAAATAATGCCTCAAAGTTCTTTTGAAGAGTTTCATCTGTCAGAACCATGACAACTTCTTTTAGGCAGCTGGATGACTTTGGGCCGATTCATCTCTCTCTCATGCCAACCCACCTCACAGGGTTGATGTCATGGGGTGAAAAGAAGGCAGGAGGATTAGCTTTGAGTTATATAAAAATATAGAATTAAAACGTAGTATAATCATCATCTCACCCAGCCATCGAATCATTTTCTTGAGCCTGTCCGTTTTGCTTGCTGATTGGTGATCAGAGAGGGAAAGCTAAGAGGAAATTTGTGGGTCCCCCACTGGCAGGACGACAGCCTCGCTGAGGACATTTTCCCCAAGGATTGTGAGTACAGTAAGCAATGGAGTCATGTATCCATCCTTTTAAGATGGCAGCAATAGCTCTCTCTCAGTATATGCCAAAATTGTAATGAAAAAGCCTTTAACATGGGTGGCACTCGGCTTTAACAAATAATCTGTGTCTTAAAATTTATGGCCAGCATGCCTAATTTCAGAAGAGATTAACTGAAGGCTAGCTTTATTGTGTGACCTTGTAAAACATCCAGCTTTGTGGCAGAAGAAAGATCTGTCCTCTAATGTTTGGACTGTGTCATTGAAGTGAATAGGTCACTAAACACTGCAAGGCAGGGTGCAAGTTGCCAGGAGTATTTTAGGATGAGGCGCAAAGGAATATTGCAATCTTACCGTTCTTAACACTGTACAAGCTTGCCTTTCTGCAGGAAGTTGAGCTCACATCTTTGCAAGTGTTTGGTCTCCCATAGCAACCTATATGTCCAGGAATAAAATAGTATGTTTTACTTATCCCCAATTAGCCTTTCTGATAAGCTATTAGGATCTAACAAGGAGAGATGGTGTTCTTTCCTGCCTGCCCTTTGTATTCCCTGTGAACTGTTAGAGTCGCAGCTCTACCTAGGCAGCTCCATCAAACCAGGTTGTCCACTGCTTTTGTTCTTAGCATTTATCCCACTTGGTTGCAGTATCTGCTTGTTTTTGCATTGTGCTTACCTCGTCCTCACCGCAAAGCTATCAATGCATGATGCAATGAGGGTTTTTGTTTTCCAGCTGGCTTGTTGCAGATGGAGTGCACAGTGAGTTTCCATGCAAAAAGGAAGAATAGAACTCGGGTTTTCCTGCTCTTCGTTCAGCATCTAAACCCATATACCATGCTGGCTTCTTCAGATCAGAATATCTACAGTAATTCAAAATGTTATTAAAATGTTATCTCAGTGGGAGTCTTCTATGCATCAAGAGTTGGTTTGAGAATCATATCCAGGCTTTGATGAGGGGGAATGGAATCTAGTAATGCTCCTCTTTTAATGTTGAAAACATTGTTAACTAGAGGAAAAATGTTCTTGTGAAAAGCTTAATGTGGGATTTTAACAGATGGATTTGTCAGATAACAGCATTAGCATTTATCTGTGTGTACAGCACAGAATTGGTGATTGGGTTCTCAAAAGATTCTTATTGGACTGTTTAAAGAAAGTTACAGCATCATTTAATTACATTAGATTGTATGTAAGAATTTGGGTGGATAAAGATTGCAAAGTTTCTTTTATGAACCTTTTAATATTATTTAAACATTACAATGTATTCAACACTGTATGAATTATTAGCATATATATAATGAATATTATATATGTCACTGTAGATATTATAGTACCATTAGAAATTAGGCAGAAATACTAAAAATAAATCTGCTGCAGTATCAAAATATTCTTTGGTATTAAGCTCTATAGTGGAAAATATACTATATTCTTCATAATTATTATTCAATTGGAAAATAAAGTCATTCATTCATTCATTCCACAGTTTTTGTAACCCGCTCCAAACACTGGGTAGCATATAATAGAATAAAAATGTTAAATTAAAAAACAAAGGAAGACAATACAATTAATTAAAAAATGGTAGCCATTAATGGTAGGCATTAAACATTTATTCTGATTAAAAACATGGTACGGCACTGCTGTTTGGATGGCTTCCCAAATTTCCAGAAGGAATGGGCTTCATAAATCTCTGAGTGCAAGGAATTTGGTATACAAAGTCCCAAACAACCTAATTCCATGTCACTAGGTGGATTTTCTGTTATAATAGCCACATTAGTATATATTTCTGATGCATTTGCTCAAAACATTTACTGCCTGTAGACCACAACTGTTTTTCTTTCTCCTTTCTAGGAATGAAATGATGAAGGAATTTCATTCCGAGAGCTCTCAGATGTACAAATAGCTATTTTAAAATTCCAATAAGCACCAGAAAATACTTTAAAATATAGTCCATCATGGATTACAAGGCTGGAGGTAAAAGGAAGCAGCAGCATAGTTTGAATTTACTAGATCAACTAAAATGTATGAAAGATTTAACTGAAATGATTGATGTGGTGTTAGTGGCTGAAGAAAAAAAATTCCCTTGCCACAAATTGATCCTGGCTGCTTTTAGCCCCTATTTCAAAGCAATGTTTACTTGTGGGTTGATGGAATGCGCACAGAGAGAAGTTGTGCTACATGACATAGCAGCTGAAAGTATATCTGTCCTCCTGCACTACATGTACACTTCTGACTTGCATCTCACAAATTGTAATGTACAAAATGTGGCCACTGCTGCCTTTTTTATGCAGATGGAAGATGTGTTTAGTCAATGTCAAACCTACATGATGGACCACATTGAAGCTTCCAACTCTGTAGGGATCTATTATTTTGCAAAGCACATTGGGGCAGAAGAACTATCTGAACGAGCCAGGAAATATTTGTATCAGCACTTTACTGAGGTGAGCCAGCATGAAGAAATACTAGAGATAGAAGCTCAGCAACTGCTAAGCCTGATCAGATCCGATGATCTGAATGTATCCAGAGAAGAGAGCATCTTGGACTTAGTCCTTAGATGGGTTAACCACAGTCGGAAGTTGCGTGCAGATCATCTCATTGAGCTCTTGAAGCAAGTAAGGCTGGAACTTGTAAGTCCTTCATTCCTAGTGGAAGCTCGGAAAAGGAACACAGTGCTTCTGAGTAATTCTCAGTGTATAGACATGATTGAGGGAGCCTTAGAAAATATGAAAAAATCCAATCAACTTTCCCTCAGCCTCCGGTATGGCATGGAGACCACTACACTTCTCCTTTGCATTGGCAATAACTCAGGGGGGATCCGATCAAGGAAAGGTAATTATGCTGAGGCCAGCTTCTGTTACGCACCTCTAACGCAAAAGACCTACTTCATTTCCTCTCCAAAATATGCAGAAGGCCTTGGCAGTATATACACCGGTGTGGTTACTGAGGTCAACAGAATTGTTGTTGCAGGGGAGGCGAGTGCTGCCAAGATGTCTAGACAAAAGACCAGGAAGATTGAAATTTATAGGTTTGTATGGGGGGGGGCACTAAGACACAAAATATTCCTATATCGTTTCTTCTCCCCAACACTTAAAATTACAAAGGGCCATATAGAAGGAAAGATTCAAGTGCTGTATGAATTAAAGCTTTTCCTCTAAGCCTATGATAGAACTTCTAACATCAAAGTGAAATTTCTAACATCAAAATTAACCAATGAATAATCTTCCTCTGGCTCCTTTTCTAGATCAGTTATAATGATGGAAGACAACCTTAACTAAATGCAAAAATGTTTTGGACAATTCTACTTTATAAATTACGTTTGAAAAGTTAAAAGGCATTGTGAAGGGATTAAGTTCTTGTGGAATATTTATAAAAGTTGGATGGAATCCTCCACTATTGTTTTATACACATTCCATTGGCTTCTAAATTGACTGAATACAGCATATACTATATTTATATCTATATATTTAAAACAGGTCTGTCAAGCAGAGTTATTTCAGGTTGTGAATGAAACAATTAGGTGTTTGCTCATTCATTAATGACACAACGGCAAGATCTATAGTGCCCTCTAGGTGCCAGATATAATGCTATAAGCAACTTCTTTCTTTCTGGAGTTATTTTGCCCTTATTCAGTCATGAGGACAATAAAAATGTATATCTGTAGTGCTTTCATTCTATGCTGCCTTGTTAATATTGAAAATGTTAATATTGAAGGAAAATCAAAAGTATAGTCCTTGCCATACATCCCACTAAAATTCAGGAAAACTGCTTTAAATACATTTGATTAGGACTGAGTTTCTAAGGCTATACATATGCATTGCCAAGTCAGATTTTGCCTTTTAATAAAAAAAATAGCAAGCAAAGGGAATAGTCACCTTGAACTGCAAGATGGGCAGTAAATGAATTTAATAATAATCATATTAAAAAATTATAATAATAGAGGGATTTTCTAGGAGGAAATTTTCTTTCCTGATTTCATCTGATTTCTTAATGGTGGGTATGCCCCTAGTTATGCCCCAAAGTTTAATGCTTTTTTTTTTTTTACAGATTTTTAGCACAATTTAGCTCTTAATGTACTGACATAAGATCTTGCTGGGTTAACCATATGCTACGCTGACTGTTGCTGCTCTGGTTAACTAACATATTTATTATCTACATGGAGGAGGATAGGAAGCAAACAGAATATTTTGACAATGTTGATTGGGTGATGAATAGCCAGTAGTGAAAGACATTTCCCACTATATTCCTAATATTCAGGCACCTCTCCAACAAGGCTAATATAATTGGGACAAGGGGGCAGTTATGTCCCCAGACTACATGGGTGGGTAGAGTAGGAAACGGGATAATAGTCAGAAAAATTACCTCTGTAAAATCATAGCATTTAATAAGACTTGTCAATTTATGCCATTGGACATTTGTCAAAATTAAAATTCTTTTTTAACCCCACGTTGAGCCTACTTAAGAGTAAAAGCTGTACTTGAGGAGATAAGGTTAGGTACAAATACATAGGTAAACTGTGATAAAGGAAATTCTAATATGAGGATTCATTACAGGTATGAGGGTCATGGAAATCGATTTTGGGAAAGCCTGTGCACAGCGCAGTTTCGTGAACTGTATGCTTTAGGCACTATCCATCATGATTTATACATCATAGGAGGTCAAATGAAACTGAAAAACCAATATCAAATTACCAATATTGTGGAGAAGTACTCCATGGAGCAGGAGAACTGGAGAACTTTGGCCCCACTCCCAGTGCCGCTGGCTTGCCATGCAGTCGTTACTGTGAAAAACAGGCTGTATGTCATCGGAGGATGGACCCCACAGGTAAGGAACATTGCTAAGCGTTTCAGGACATGGAGTGCTCTCTGAAGCCATTGTCTGTGCTTGTTAAAGCAGCCTTCACAGTAGGAATGTAACTGCAATCATTGCCATTCAGCAAAATTACAAAAGCTACTGCTGATGGATGTGCTTGCTTTCAGGCAGTAGGGCAATATCTCTTTTCTCTTTTGGCTTTCGGATCTTAGTGCATATGCTGGATCAGTCTGTGCATTCAGTCGAACCAGTTATTGTCTGCTGTAATTGGTAAAGACTCTTCAGCCTCTCTCTAGATGATGTTTGCCGCTGGCTGCCTCTGAGGCTGAAGAATTCTGACTTACTCAAGATCAAACAGTTATTATTTAGGAGGAAAATAAGATTTTAACTGGACTTTCCAGTTCATTCTCTTGACTAATGCAACACATCAATTCCAACTTTAGATGATGAAAATTACTTTGGTTTGAAAGTCACTGAGGGAGGGAAGGAAACTTTGTCTATGTATCACATCTTATACCAGAAATATTATTTGCCGGCACTTGATGTGATCTTATTGATGGACAGAGAAAGATAATCTGCCTTTAAAGGCAGACTTTGAGACTAATTACAGAGAAAGCAGGAGAGCCAATCTGGTATAGTGGTTAAGGCACTGGGCTAGAAATCTGGTATAGTGGTTAAGGCATTGGGCTAGAAATCAGGAGACTATGAGTTCTAGTCCCATCTTGGGCCAGTCACTTTCTCTCAGCCCTAGGAAGGAGGTAATGGCAAACCTTCTGAAAAATCTTACCAAGAAGAGTGCAGGGACTTGTCCATGCAATCTCTATGATTTAGACACAATTGAATGGAAGAAAAAAACCCACAATGAAAATTAACAATTACTCTGGTTTCTTCTAAAGAGGTGGTTTCTAGTGCTGTTCACTGATTGCTCTCCTGTGGTAAATTAGAAGTCAGTTTACAGTACATTTTGCACATTATTGAGAATACTGCTATTTTTATATGAGGCTTGCCAGACTGCTAAGCTAACTATTTCTTGTTTGTCATTAATATTGAAATAAATTTTGAATACTTCTGAGTCATTTGTAACTTTTCAGATATATGTTGATACTCCTAACAACATAATCATGAACATGTCTATATTTTTATTTGTCTAAAATTGTCAGAAAACATCAAACACTCTTTCGCTGCAGTTATGTAGTGTGAAGTAATAAACATCTGTTCATCTTGCCACAAAAATTGAGTAACCTACTAGCCATATCCTCTCTGCTCACAATACAAGTATTTTATTAATCCACATTTAGCCAGTAATTTCAAAGGAAAAGCCTTCTGAGAGACTGCTCTTTGAAAAGTGAGGGTGAGGGAAGATTGATTATTAAAAATTTAAATTAATGTCCTTGGGTCACAGAAACTCTATAACCATGGTGACATAGCAGGAAAACTATATTCTTGAGTGGCTGCAGTCATGGCTGTGGCAACGCAGCCAAAGAAAACACTACAACCTTGATGTTGTTGTTGTTAATTTCGAAGTCGTGTCCGACCCGTCGTGACCCCATGGACAATGTTCCTCCAGGTCTTCCTGTCCTCTACCATCTTCTGGAGTCCATTTAAATTCACACCTACTGCTTCAGTGACTCCATCCAGCCATCTCATTCTCTGTCGTCCCCTTCTTCTATTGCCCTCAATCTTTCCCACCAGTAGGCTCTTCTCCAGTGAATCCTTCCTTCTCATTAGGTGGCCAAAGTACTTGAGTTTCAACTTCAGGATCTGGCCTTCTAAAGAGCAGTCGGGGTTGATCTCTTCTAGGACTGACCGGTTTGACCGCCTTGCAGTCCAAGGGACTCGCAGGAGTCTTCTCCAGCACCATAGTTCAAAGGCCTCAATTCTTTTGCGATCAGCCTTTCTTATGGTCCAACTTTCACAGCCATACATTGCAACTGGGAAAACCATGGCCTGGACTATACGCACTTTTGTTGGCAGGGTGATGTCTCTGCTTTTTAGTATGCTGTCTAGATTTGCCATAGCTTTCATCCCCAGGAGCAAGCGTCTTTTAATTTCTTGGCTGCAGTCCCCATCTGAGGTGATCTTTGAGCCCAGAAAAATAAAATCTGTCACTACCTCCATTTCTTCTCCATCTATTTGCCAGGAATTGAGAGGGCCGGATGCCATGATTTTGGTTTTCTTACAACCTTGATACGAAAGCCATTATGAATGTCCACATGCTTGGTATTATGTTATATCCTAGCATTTTCCCACAAATGCAGGGCCTGCTTTTTTTTTTTTTTTTCATTGATTGTGACAGGAATAGACTGACTGGCTTGTCCCCAAACTGATATCGTGAGCCAAGACAGGCTGACTGGTCCAAAGCTCTTGGACCCAGCTCTTTTTCATGTCTAAGATGAAACTAAAACTCAGTCTCCTGGATTCTAGTCTGCTGCTTTAACCACTAGACCAAATTGGCTCTTTACGTCACAGAGCAGTACTGAAGTCTTTCTGAGTGGTAGCAGTGAGGGAGTTAAGGAAGAGCAATTCACTGGAACACCTGCTGCTCATATTGAAATGTTGTCTTTCAAAAAGGATGAAGGTATAACCAGTGCTTTTTTGGTAAAAATAAAAGGTGCTGGAACTCACACACATCATACAACCTGCCTTGCCTACCCTACAAGGTTCCATCCAAAAAAGGTGCCGGAACTCCGTTCTGGGCATTCTATGACAAAAAAAGCCCTGGATATAAGCAATAACAGCATCTACAGCATTTTCTTCTGAAAAATACTCAGGCTTCTCTACGGTTTATATTTTCCACAGGGGAAAATCTAAAATGTAATTAGTGGATGGTGAAGTGATATTGGATGCCCTTTGAAAAGTGAATGCAGCTTGCACTACTTCACCAAATATTGGACAGAAGTATTATTTCTCTATTGTAATTTTAGAGCTGGAAGTGAGTTGTTTGTATTTTCTACCTTAGATATGAAAATGTGTTGTGCATTTTTTGAATATGGCACTGCTGTACCTATGGAAGATCAGCAGGAAGCACTTTATTTAAACTTGTGAAAAACTAATATATGATAGGATTGCAGGATAAGGTTGCAGTTTGAGACTGGGCATTGTGCTATGATGCATACTGATGTTTCTAAAGAGTTCAAAAATGCAAAAGATTCAGTTCAAATAATCATATTTTCTTATATTTGTTGTGGCATTAGCCTCTGATATAAGAAAAGAAAAATCATATAGAAAAGTTAGGTCTATTTACTGTAAAACTAGTTTAATTCAGGAAAATAAAGGCTGGAGATTGTTGGGTTCTTTAGGTTACATTTAGCTATTTGTGAATCTAACTTGGACTAATTCCATTTAATAAGATTTATTTAGGATTAGGTAGGATTGGATTGCAGATGGGGCAATGAATTACAGTACTGACAGCTAATTAACTTTCAGAGAGCATAAAGGTTTGCTGACATATCAATACAAAAAATGCTACACTGAGAAATTTTTCTGAGGTCTGCAAATATTTCTTTTTTTGAGAAAGGTTAATGTAAGAAGCATAGTTCTGGGTAGTCTTTCTATAAAAAAAATAGAGCTTAAAATGGATTAGAAAGTTTATGTTAGCCACTATATTAACTTAATGGTATATTGTGAAAACTTGAGTCAGAATAGGCAAGTGTCAGCCCTTTCTTTGGACAGAATGAGTCAGTTGTCTCAGATAGTAAATGCTCAAAAAGGGACAAAATATTAGAGAGAATGTGTTACACCTAGTCTGTGCTGCACTTCCCACTGTAGGATTGGTCATTTTTGTTATCTGCCTCATGAGGCAAATATATTAGTCTAACTTTTGCTAGACCAAGTTCATGTTGCTTTCTCTACGACGTTAAGGAAATTGTAGGCAAAAATGGCACGACTATTTGGAGCCACATATCTGCCTAAAGTTATGAAGGAAGGACAGAAACTAGAAACTGAAAAAGAGCAAGGTTGCTACATGGGCAACCGTCACAGGCTAAATTGCAAGATTAGATGGGGCGGGGAGAGGAGTTGGAACCATCACACGAGGAATTTGGGAATGGGAAAAACCTGAGCCGAAGTGATGAGCTTTGCAGAAGGATTTGATGGGCTTCTGTATGAAACAGGATGCATCTGGTTGAATGATCAATCTCACAGAGATCTTATCATGTTTTTATGTAGGAATGCATATGTAGGGTGGGTCTTCTTAATACTGATCTTGCATGAATTGGGAGGCTAATTGCAACGTCTCTCACAAAATAATAGGTGACAACCCATTTAAAATGAACCTTTCAGTCTAATGGATAAAGGTTTTGCCCCACAGAGCCTATTAGGTAAATAATAAAGGAAATGAAAAGCATGAAGGCAATATGTACTATACCAAATATAAATTTCTATATAATTTGCTATAATAGACCTGCAGATATCTGGAGATGTAGTTAATATACACAAATATTGCTCCAGTTCCTATTCTTTATTGTTTTATATAGTTAAACACAAATAATTTTGGAAAACACAGGAAAGGTCTTGCCATTGAAATCCCTAGCTATACAAAGTACCTAAAACTTAAAAATGCTGCATCAAGTTTAAAAATAAGATCTAAAAAAAACAATAGAAAAATGAAAAGAGAATGAGGGGGTGGAGAAGAAATTGAACAAATCAGTGTGCCAGTCTTAAGGATTACATCATCTCAGTGATATTTTCTGAGCAGGGGATGAGATCCATCCTGCTTTTTAGTATACCATCTTTATGATTTAGATTACAATATGCAGCATATTATTTGTTTCTTTACATGAAAAACTACATATAAAGTTCACCTGAGCAAATCCTACAAGGAATTTTGTAGGTGCTTAATTCTTACATGTGGCTTGTATAAAATACCAGTCCTTAACCTCATAATTCCACAAATTATATCTCAATCTTTTATGGAAAAGTTCCTTTGAAGGGGAGAATTTGTCAGAAGAATGATAGTATCAGGCTTACTTACATATGTATAGGCTGAGCAAAAGAAACAAACCCACAAGCAGTGTCACTTTCCCAACAATAACACTCCAGATCCCAAACTTCTTTAGGCACTTTGTGCAGGATTTTAATTTCTTCCTTCCACTATTCAGCCTACAAGAGAGAAGCTCTGTATATTCTGCAATCTTCCATATATTCGTAATACTTTAACATTTATAAGCATCGACTACCTACCTACCTAAGAGTCTTGGTGGTGCAGTGGTTAGAGTGCAGTATTGCAGGCTAATCCTGCCAACTGCCAGGAGTTTGATCTCAACCGGCTCAAGATTGACTCAGACTTTCATCCTCCCAAGGTCAGCAAAATGAGGACCCAGATTGTTGGGGGCAATATGCTGACTCTGTAAACCATTTAGAGAGGGCTGTAAAATGCTATGGTGGTATATAAGTGGTATATAAGTCTAAATGCTATTGATACTTACCACAGTCACTTAGGTGAGAGATGCAGTACAGAAATTTAATCAATAAATGTTGAATGTTTAATGTAAAATCATGTTAGTCTATACATGATTTTACCATCAACATTCAACATTAAATGTGTTAATCTGCACATTAAAAGGCTGCAGCTTTCATGAGCCTATGTAATAAAATGTATTAATCGGAAAAGGTGCTACTAGACTCCTGATTTTTTGATAAGCTTAGGTTGAAAACTCCCTTCATTCTGAATGGGACATGGTTCCAAAAACATCCTTAAAATGAGAATGAAAATCCTTATTATAATTTTTTTCTTTAAAATTTGAATGTCATAAATATTTCATATGGATATGCATCTCCAGATTATTTGTTTATCTGATGCCTTCCATTTAAGAGCTCAAAGTGGCATTCATAACAACCCTTCCTCCCATTTTCCTTGCAGTAACAGCCCTATCAGGTAGGTTGGGTTGAAAGAGACTAATTAGTCCCAGCTTGCCTTGTGGACTTCCATGGCTGGAAGTGGACTTGAATCTGGGCCTCCTCCTGAAAAATCTTTACCACACTGGCTATTGTGAACACATGCTTATTACTGTAATGTGACAAAAAGCAGCCTGTGCGAATCCAATTAAATTCAGTGTCAAAGAATAATTTATTTATTTTTAAAGTCCCTTGTGGTGATCCAGAATTAAAAGGAAAGAATGAGGAACTGGTAGTCCACCAGTTAACTTGTTTCCCTGAAAATAAAACTGGGTCTTATATTAATTTTTGCTCCAAAAGATTAGGGCTTATTTTCTGATTAGGGCTTATATTCGGGGAAATACGGTACTAAATGCATCTGTCTGGCTGACAATCTTAACGGGCTTATTTTGGGGGTGGAGCTTATATTACGAGCATCCTGAAAAAATCACGCTAGGACTTATTTTCTGGTTGGGCTTTCTTTTCATTTTCGAACTACAGTCCCCATCAACTCCTACCATTGGCAATGCTGAATGGAATTGAGTGGCTGCAGAGAATGCACCCTGTTTAAAGGTCACACAGTATCTATATCCTCTGTTGCTTACCTTACCATAGTTAACTGCAAAGAATGACCACCTTGTATAGTAATCATTGCAGTAACTCTGTAGGGAAACATTTCAGGATACACTAGAGACTTAAAATGGAGACTTTCTACTAGGCTTTGTTCATCTGTTTTAGTTTTCTGGAGGCTCATGATTTAGCAGCAACATATGGCTCCATGAACACAACTCCACTTGCCCATCCAATCTTGTTAACATTTTTACTGAAGAATCCAGACAAGTTAATTTTCTATATGAATGTGGTTTATGAATTATATTCCCACTGGCATCATCCTGGCAAAAAATCTATTTGTTTCAAAGAAGGCGGCAGAGCCAGAGGTTTGAAGGCTGCCAAGAATGAGAAGGAAAAAAAACCACACAGATGGTTGCAAAGGGATCAAAGCCTCATTGTCTCTGTTCTTCCTCTGCTGATTAAAGGTAATTGTTCACATGAAGCTGCAGATATATGCATACATAATTGCTGGTCATAGCCTAATGAACTAATCTGTGAGAGTACCTTTAAATTCACCAGTCCTTGGAAGGTCATGTTCCTTTTCTTGAAAGTATTCCTTTTTCTTAGCCTTTGTTAGTCTTACCACACTACAACCTGTTTGGGATGCAGGGTGTCCCTAATGGGGAACAAAATTTGTCAAGCTGATCATCTTTGTTACTGGTGGTCCTAGACTTACAACCATTTGTTTAGTGACCATTTGAAATTACAATAGCACTAAAATAGTGACTTACAGTTCTTGCACTTGCTACCATCACAACGTTCCCAGGGTCACATGATCAGAATTAGGGCACATGGCAAACTGGCTGAATTTATGACAGTTGTGGTGTCCTGAGATCAGAATAACGGAGTTGGAAGGGACCTTGGAGGACTTCTAGTCCAACCACTGTTCAAGCAAGAGACCCTATACCATTTCAGACAAATGGCTCTTTTTAAAAGCCTTCAGTGTTAGAACACCTACAACTTCTGGAGGCAAGTTCTCTCCTTGATTAGTTTCCATCCACTACTTCTTGTCCAGCCTTCAGGTGCTTTCTAGAGTCTCAACATCTTCTTTTCATCATGGCAACTAAAACTAGATGCAGTATCCCAGGTGTGGTCTTACCAAGGCATTGTAAAGTGGTACTAACACTTCATGTGATCTTGATTCCATCCCTCTGTTAATGCAGCCTATGACTGTGTTGGCTTTTTTGGCTCATATTTAAGTGACTGTCCATTAGGACTCCAAGATCCCTCTCACAGTTACTACTATTGAGCCAGGTACCACCTATACTATACCTGTGCGTTTGTGGTTGCCACTTGCGACCTTCCAGCTTCTGACAAGCAAGTCAATAGGGGAAGCTGCATCTATTTTGCAAACACATGGTTCACTTTACAACTTCAGTGATTTACCTAACAATCATTGCAAAAAAAAGATTGTAAAATTGCAATTCACTTAACAACTGCCTGGTTTAGCAACAGAAATTCTTGTCCCAATTGTGGCCGTAAGTTGAGATCTGCCTGTATTCCGACTGACACATTGTAATGTGCAGCTAGGAGGTAGCAAGTATGTCTAGGAGTCAGTATGTCCAACATGAAAAAAACTGGGAGATATATGACTGTGTGAACATTCTTTAGCAGAAGATATGGAACCTCATTTCTAGTGTTAGCAGAATTGTGAGAACTTGGGACTGCTTGAAAAGTTCTGCTGCTGGATTTCAAGTAGAGACGTGAGAGTCTTAACAAAGTCTCCTCCAGTATAAATTCCCTATGTGTGACAGAATTCAGCATTATCCTGTGGTATGGCTTCCTTATGGTTTAATTAGCTTTCCCTTGATCAAGGACCCAAGAAATTTTCTAAGGTTTTCTTTCAATCCCTAGAACAGGGGTGGTTATATTGATTGTTTTATTCAAAGAAGAGAATATATTTAATTATGTTTTTTATTTGGATATTACTTCTGGATTTTGTGCTTGTGATGAAAAAAATGAAACTTTGATTTTGGTTTTGCTGATTAGATAGATTCCTTATTATAGAAATGGCTAGTTATATATTAATGTGTAAATGTTAAAAGTTGAGGCTAGAATGTTGTTATCTTGTATTGTGCTAAAAAGAGTCAGAAGTCAACCCTTTTTTTCTTTCTTTCCTTGTACACTGACATTCCCTAAATTCTGCTGAAGATGTTACCTAGTCTTGTAACGAAATGTTTGGAAACCAATCCACAAACTCAGAGAACGAATCTCCGCCTTCATCCTGCATCCAAGCTACAGACATTCACCACTATCACAATTATAATTTCTGTTTTAGCTCTATACACAACTGCAATGACCATCCCTAAACTTTATTCATATAACTTTCCTAAACCTGCCCTGCAATTTCCATTGCATCTTTTCCCAATCTTTATTTGGCCAATAATTTGTTTGCCTCCATCCATAACTTTGCATTAAGAATATTATTGGTAAGGTACCGACCCATGCGCTATAATAGTAAGCTACCTGCTGATCTCTTTTATAACAGGTTTGTATGTGTGTGCTAAAAAGAAAATACGTATTTTTAAACTTGTACATTTTCCTTCCAGTTCCATTGTTTCAAGTTTATTAAAACTTAGTGAATAAATCTCTGGAAAAGTTCCCATTTATTACAGTATATCTATCTTGACATGCATGCATGTAGCAGTTTGAATAGATAGATAAATAGATAGATAGATAGATAGATAGATAGATAGATAGATAGATAGATAGATAGATAGATAGATAGATAGATAGATATAGATAGAGACAGAGATAGAGAGATAATGTTATTCATACAATCAGGTCTAATAATTGTTTCCCCTTCCCCTCCCTTCCTTGATGACAATAGAGAAAGAAAAATGGGGGAGGGCATACTAAAGATGAGTTCAAAATCCATTCAAAAATAAAGAAGTGCAGAGTTTAGTTTTTACTGTTATGTAATCTTATTTCGCCAAAAGCATTAGTAGATAAATCTTCAAACTACCTCTGGGATGTTGTGCCCTAATCAAATAAGAAGCTAAATCAAAATTTGATCTCAAGGGGGAAATAAGTGGTTTTTGACTTTCTTCTTGAGACTTCACTGCATCCTTGTAAAAAAGAGCTATGTGCTGTCACAGATGAGTCTATAGATGGTTTATTATTACCCAGATCCTCAGCTTCCTTGCTGCAGAATATATATGGGTTGTTATTCCTGTGCCTTTTTCAGTGTACTTCTAAGCCACAAGTCATAGGTTCCACTAGTCAGTATGAATCACTTTGCAGCTATAATTGATGTGTTTGTATTATTTATCTGCTCAACTGTCCTCCATGATTAATAGCATGCAGGCGTGTATAGAAGGCTCCAAATGTTGTATTATTATATGGCTGTCATATTTCACACAGATGGATCTTCCCAATGATGAGCCTGATCGATTAAGCAACCGAACGTTGCAGTATAACCCAAGCCAAGACAAATGGGTGGAGTGTGCGCCGATGAAGTATTCGAAGTACCGCTTCAGCACAGCTGTAGTCAACCATGAGATTTATGTGCTGGGTAAGAGCAAACAGATTTTTAAGAGATAGAGGGGCCACTTTTTATTTTTTCTTAGCAATTTGATTCTACGAAATGAAAGATTTCATTCTCCTACCATTCTCTATCTTGTAAGTTAGAGAAAGAAAATAGTATAAAATAACCGGCAAGGAACAATTATCTCCATTTTATGCACTTACTATATTAATTTTTTTCCTTGATTCATTTCCTGCATCACTTTGGAAACCGCATTCTTCCTTACCAATCAGAGGACGTTATTTGGTTCTGCTATTTTTTATTTTAACAAAACAACAATGTAGCCAGTGCAGTCTCTGTTTTTGATGAGTATGCTGATTGGAAATTTCTGGGAATTGTAGAACTACCTGGAGGGTGAAGGTGCCATGTTGGAAATAGTCTGCAATAGTACATTACAGATCTCTCTGCAGATAAAATTGTTATGACTAAATGGGATATCAGCATAGGTATATCATTCCAGGTCAATTTACACACGTAAAAATATTAGGTAAAATATTGATCTAAAGCTCAGCCACCACAGGAATCCAGTACAAAGTGTAAATATAGAAACATAGAAGAAATGTGCTTTGCAACATCCCAGCGTGAATCCATGCCTTTGATATTTATGTCCCAAATTGAACACAAGTGTATGAGTTAGATGGTTTATATTATAACAACATAACATGTTTTGTCATTTTTTTTACAGTATCTATGGCAGGAAAATACTGCAGAAATTTATTCTTATCTTCATATGTTGGCAGGATGGCCGCAAGAAAATTAATTAACTTTATTAATGTATGAGGAATCATTAAATTATCTCTCTGCTCTCTGTGGCATTTTCAGCATCTTAGTTTCAATGCTTCAGATTTTCCAATTCAGTATGATTACCCTAATGGTCTTATGAGAATGAAGCTGAGGCTACTCGAGGACATGAAAACATTATTATCTAGGACCTCTGTTGTATATTGGCTCAGATTTTCTATTCTGATCATTGTCCCTCCTGAATCTTTCTGAAGCTAGCAAACAACTTCCCTCATACAGAAGTTCCCACAGTTTGTCCTCCTTAAAGGTACAGGAGAAGGCTTCAGAAATAATCTCTGCGTATAAAAAAGCAACAGAGGAGGATAAACAGGGGAGAGGGAAAATATTGTAATTGACAGCTCTGCTCAATGAATTATTATTTAATCCATTGATCAGTCATGAACTCAGAATGACAGTAAAGGCCTATGCCAGAGCTTTCAATTGGACAGATATATGGGATTTGACATAAATGAACTATTGTATTTGAGGTATTTTTCTGTTTGCTTGGATTCCAGTAAGAAAAAGGTTTTTTTATATATTTGGAAAAACATTCAAGAGGTGTTGTGGTGAGGAGTAAAAAAGGGGAGTAGGACTTGGGGTGGTCACAGCCACCATGCTTACATTTTTTTTACAAACAGATACATAATACACACCATGGACACCCCTGGGGTGTTCTAGCAAAAGGGAAAAAGAATGGGTTTTCTATCGTTTTCTATGATTTGGAGTTGAGGAATATAGACTAAAGGAATTTAACTATGGAGGGTAAACACCAGCTATTGGTGGCTTTTTAATTCCAAACTAAATTATCAAGAGAGCTAGGAGACAGTTTATGACCCAAAAAGAGAAATGCAGGGAATTGGAAGAAAATCTGTTTTCAAAGCCCTTATTTTTCATGTTGATGTATGTGTTTGTGTACACACAAGTGAAGATTTATTAAATGTGTTCAACCTAGGACCTAGGAAGAGATATTTCAGCCTATTTCTGACAAGAGAAGAATAGTAGGTTTCCAGGCCAAAAAATCTAGAATTTCTATCTTGAAGAAAGGCTTGGGATAACAACAATAACTGCAGAATAAAGCCTGCTTAACCTAATCTAACATACAAGAGTAAGAACTCTGAAGAGAAAGGAAAATATATTTAATGAATAACTTCAATAGGCCCTGCACAGTTGAAAGCTAGTTGGAAGAACTCCAACAGAGGTCTTGTAGTACGATTTTGGTCCTCATTAAAGCAGCTTAACTTTTTTCAGGCTTTTAGCAAAAATGCCTTTTGGGGGGGGGGGGAAATGAGCCATTTGTAGAATCTTAAAGCAGGAACCCCTTTTTTCCCAAACTTACACAGAAGTCTGAAAGAAATCAGATTGCTTTAAGGAAGAACATAGAGGTGTCGCATTCACAGCACCTCTAATGCAGTTCTTTTTAACCATTTTCAAAGGGTGCATAGCCTAATTTACTCTATCCTTGCTTCACTTCAAGTTCTATATACACTCTTCCTCCTGTCTTTTCACTCTGCTTTACTTTTGGACCCATCTCCCTTTATGAAGAGATGATAGTGTACTTAGTACTCTTACCTGTCAGTACTTTCCATCTATTTTTGTCTCTATTTAAGATGTAAGCATAGGGGAAGCCCTCAAATAATATCCCATAGAACTAAGAATAAACCATTAAGTTCATTGCCCAGAAAACACTTCAAGAGAAAACACTTCAAGAGAAAACATAGACAAGACATAGACAACAAGGCCTCTCTACTGTTTTATAAACTTGGCAACTTGAAGATGTGTGGATTTCAACTCCCAGAATTCCCAGGCAGCATGGAAAACACTGATCTAGATGCATTTGACTTCATTCCCCCCCCCCCATTCCTTATCACGAGACATGTTAACTGAGACAGTTGTAAGTTGAAGATCAAAACATCTCTCTGCTTCAAGGCATTCTCTTTGTGATGTTTTATGTGGAAGAGAAGGGGGCAGGCATCTGCGGGTGATCTGAATTTAATCTCCCTCCATGTATTTTGTATAATAGCATCAGGACAGATTTATTTATTAGCTTTATATCCCACCTTTCATCCACAAACTAAGATGGCATTATAATAATAATAATAGTAGTAGTAAAGTTGGAAAGGACCTTGGAGGTCATCTAGTCCAACCCCCTGCTCAGGCAGGAAACCCTACACCATTTTGGACAAATGGCTGTCCAGTCTCTTCTTAAAAACTTCCAGTGTTGGAGCATTTACTGCTTCTGGAGGCAGGCTGTTCCACTGATTAATTGTTCTCACTGTCAGGAAGTTTCTCCTTAGTTCTAGGTTGCTTCTCTCCTTGATTCATAGCATTCATAATGCATTCATAATAGCATTCATAATGCATTCATAGCATTATATTCCAGCTATGGCCCTCAACAACCCTAGAAAGAGGTTGGGCAGAGAAAAGTGAGGTCACCCAATGTATTTCCATGGCCGAGGGCAACAGGGACTGGGGCCTCCTCTTTCCCTATACTTAATCGCTATACTATATTATATAAGATGCTATTTTCAGTTATGTTTTAAGGAACAGGGCTATAGTCATAAAGTGTACACACAGGTGGGTTGGTTGCAGAACCAGAAGTCTTGGGAGAAGAATTAAGTCCTTCCACTGTGTGTATTAATTTCACTCTGGGCCAGATCTTAGGACATATTGGTAGAGGAAAAAATGGTGGGTCAGCTGTAAGTTGCATATCTACCATATCATGTAGTTTAGACTTTGTGCCATTGCAAAGAAAGAGGATGGGAAGAAAACTGGAATTAGTTGTTTTTCCCAATAATTGCCCACTCTTTTTTTCTTCCCAAGAGGCACCACATCATGATTTGACGCCCTAGTTAAAACTTCTTGAGACGTCCTTGCTACTTAAATGATAAATAATCTTTTGAAGAACAGGAACATTTCCTGAGGATCTAAATTCTTTATTCTACTCACAGTATTAGACTGATCTTAGCTGTTTCTCCCCATATTTTCCCAGCAACATAACTATATTTGTTCAGAAGCCCAAGAAAGAGTGGTATTGTGTTCCTAATGACAGAGCCAATTGAATTCAGCCACTTTTGGAAGAAAACCAGATGGGGACGGCACCATTTGAGGTCATGCATTTTAATCTCTTGCATTAAAAAGAAAAGGCAAAAAACCTTCACAGCTGAATTTCTGGAAATTCATTACTAACAATTGGCAAATTAGAAGAGGCTTTGCCAAGGGCACCAGCTCAAACTTCCAGAAGAATAGTACTCTGTGAAATATAAGTCATCAGTAAGGGAAATAGCCTGACTAAAAAGGGTGTTCCCGCAACATTGTTTATCTGTTATGTAATCCCTGATTTTTATAAATAAGAACATGCAGGCAGCATTAAAGGAGGAATCCTATTATAAAAGATTTGGAATATCAAAGAATCTCTGTTTATCTTCCTCAGTCTGGAATTCCATCTCATTAAAATCTTGTTTTCCTCACAGCTCCAGCTGAGAGCTTTTTACAGAGTTTTAAGCAGTTAAGTAAGGTTCAATTAAATTCTGAAAATCGCCTTCATAAAATACTTATTGAAAGGGTACGAAGGGAGTTCGCTGAAAAGAAACATTAGAATAGGGAGGACACAGAAAGAGACTTTTTAAAGCCACAGCAATTTAGCCTGAAGAGTTATTTTGAATTAATTATACAATTTCTAAAATAAACTATTTCCAGATTTTTCAAGGTTCTTAATGAATGAAAAGCAATGTAATGTACCTTCAAATAGAAGGTACATTATATCATGTCGTAGCTTAGTCTTCTGTCCCCTGTATCCTCCATATGTTTTAGAACTCCAACTCCTAGCATTCCTAACTACCACAACTTAGTTAAGAACTCTAGGAACTGATGTGGACCACATCTTTAAAAACTACTTGTGTTATATTAGGCAAATTATTAGGCATATAATTGTGATTGTGATGTGATATATCACTAACATTTTAAAAAAAGAAAGATGGAAGAAAAAGACAGAATAAGTAAACTAATGAAAATTTGATCAAATTATTTGAAAAGTTTCTTCCTTGACCCTTCCTCCCCTTTCACTGGCCATTTCCTTTGTACAAAATATACATAATTTTTGATATTTTTGTTCCAAATACTGATGTTGTAGTCCAAAAAAACTTATGTATCTTTGAAAAAAAACTATTTTTCTAAAGTTTTATGTTAGCCATATTTATGATAGCGATAGT